CCCAAAAAAAAATACAAAACATTTCTTTGATCATTTCTCTCCCTTTTTTTTTATCACCGGCCCCTCCCGCGCGACGCCTTTGGGATAAAAACAAAAGATTTTGGACACTTACTGAGCGGCGCCGGCGGGAGCGGCGGAGCCGGAGGGCGCTGGAGGAATTTGGGGGGTTTTCCCCATTTCTGGGGAGTTTAATAGAAAAAGGGGGAAGGGGGAGGGGCGACGGCGGCGGCGCCTGAAACGACAGAACCCCAAAACCCCCCAAATCCCCCCAAAATTCCCAAACCCCCGGTGGGGGTGGGGCCTCACCCGGCCGCTCTCTCCGGCTCCGTTTGGGGCATTTTCCTCAAATTCCTCAATTTTCCCGGCTCCGGGGCCCAAATCGGGATTTTTCTTCCTTTTTTTCTCCCTTTATCCTTCTTTTTTTCATTATTTTTCGCTTCTATTTTCTCCTCTAAATCCTCTTTGATTTTCTCTCATTTTTCCTCTCTTCTATTCTCTTCTATTTTCTCTCTTCTGATTTTTCCCTGTTTTCTTTCACTTCCATCTTCTCAAATTTTCAGCACTTGCATTTTTCTTTTTTTTTCCTATAATTTTCTATTTTCTTTTTTCTAGTTTCATTTTTCCCAATTGTATTTTTCTATTTATTTACAGTCTATTTTCATTTTTTCAATTATTTTTTCTATATTCTTCTATTTGTTCGATTTTCATTTTTCTAATTTCTTCTATTTTCTCAAATTTTCTAATTTTTTTCTAGTTTCTTCTATTCTCCAATTTTCTTCTCTTTTTTTCTATTTTTTTCCCATTTTTTCTATGCTTTTTCAATTTTCTTTTTTCCAATTTTCTATTTTTTCAATTTTCTGTTTTCTTTTTTCTAAGGTTTTTCTATTTTCTTTTTTTTTTTTTTCTGATTTTCTTCTATTTTCTCTCTCTTTTATGTTCTATTTTCTGTCTTTCTGTCCTTGTTTTCCTCTCTTCTCTCTGCTCCTCCCCTGCCCAACTGCCGCCATTTTACCAAAAAGTCCTTTTTTTCCCCCCAGATGGGGTCACTGTGAAGAAACTTTCCTCTCCCTGCCGACTCCATCTTCACTCTTCAGTTTTCCTGCTCTTCCCTCAAAATTGGCTCCTCTCAATCCATCCTGAGCCTGAAAATGCCGCATTTCACCCCAAACCGGCCGCCCCCGCCTGCGCTGCCCGGCCCGGCCCCACTTGGGGACAAAACTAGATGTTTTAAAAGCTTTAGGAGCTTTTTTTTAAAATGTAAATTTAGGAGCTTTTTTAGCAGAAAACAGCGAATTAAGCGCTTTTTCTTTCTTTGAATTAAAGAAGCTTAAAAAGCTCTTTTTAAATTAAAATCGCCCCAGCTCGCTCCGGCTTTTCGAAAATATCACATTAGGATATTTTAAGAATTAAAGAGCTGCGAGAGCTGCCTCTTCTCCCAGAAATCGGCTTTGAAAGCAGCGATTTCTTAAAAACCAGCATTAGAAGCTTCGGTTTAAATGAAAACCAGCTTTAAGAGCTTTTTAAAGGTTTTTCATTCATTTTTTTCAATTAAAAGTGCCCCGGCTCGCCCCGGCTTTTCCCATTACTGGAATCGCCGCAGTTTAAGGATTTATATTGAAAGAAAGCAGCTTTAAGAGCTCAGTTTTCCTTAAAGGAAACAGCTTTTGTCTCTTTTCTTTAAATAAATATTTAAGAGCCGCTTTTATGAAATAAAGCAGTCTTAGGAGCTCTTTCTATAAAATATCGCAGCTTTAAGAGCTTTTGGTAGGCAATAAAGCCATTTTTTGAGCTCTCGGTAGGAAATAAAGCCATTTTAGGAGCTTTTTGTATAAAATCGAGCAGCTCTAAGCGCTTTTGGGCCGAATTCGGGCCGTTTCGGGGCTGGTTCTCGGCCGGGCGCTGCCGGCGCGGGGCCCTCCCTTATAAGCGGCTCGGCGCCGCCCCCGCGGGGGCGACAAAATAGTCCCTAAAATCACCAAAAAAGGGCATCGACCCCCAAAATCCCCCCCCCCAAATCCACCACCCGCAGTGTGAAAAAGCTTATTTTTCCATTATTTCACATTTTTTACCCCTTTCTTTGATTTTTTCCCCTCACAAACTGCGTCACCCCCTCCCCCCACGGCCGTGGGCCTCCGGCCGCCCCACGCCGTCCAGCACGAAAATGGTTAAATCTAACAGCGATTTTTTTGTTCGGTTTGGCCAATTCTGCCCTAAAATCCCTCGCTTCGACCTTCCCGGGTGGTTCTGGAGGGTTTGGGTTTTTTTTTGTTTTTTGTTCATTCATTTTACTCTGGTTTTTGCTTTTGCTGCGTCACGGAGCTGGGCCGCTGCCAAAAAGGCGCAGTTTCTCCTCAAAAGGGTGACAAATCTTGGGGGGGAAAAAAAATTCTTGAGGGAACACAGACCCAAAGCCCAGTTTCACCAGTTTTTGTTCCCCAAAAAGCCCAAACGACACTTTTAAAACCTTTTTTTCCACCCTGATACAGCACAGCCATAACCACCATTTAAATTTCCTTTTTTACGACAGAAATGCATCAAAATCCCCGTGTTTCTGCCCATTTCAGGCCATGCCGAGTCATGGAAGTCCCTGTTTTCAAAAAGGGGAATAAACCTCCACTATTCTGAGGGATTTAAAGGCTTTTAAAAGACATTTTACAGCCCTTTTTTGGAATTTTGAGGCGTTTCCGGGCAGGAAATGACACCCCAAAAGTGCTGGCAGGGAGGGGACAACCCTCCCCCCCACCTTTTAATTATCATTCATTAAAGCTGCTCTGGGGCTAATTAAAGGTGCTGATGAAACCGATGAGGCATTTTGGGGGTGTGGAAGGAGCTGTTCCAACATTTTTGGGGCGTTTCCTGTAAGAGAAAATATTTCCTTATTGTTATGAATTATTTTCTGGGTTATTCCACCATTAAGGCTCTCAAATGTAATCTTTTTCTCCCCATTTCAGGTGCTGGAAAAGGCCTCCCCTAAAAATACCCTGATTTTAGGGAAGGTTTATCTCAATGGTCATTTTAATAGCAATAATTCACCAATTTGCAGCTGGTTTAAGCCCTAATGTAAAATTTTAAATAATTTTAGCAACTCTGACATGGCCAAAGTTCATGTTTTCTGCATGAAAATACTCCAAAAGCTGCTTTTCCTCAGGAGCTGAGCCTGGAGAGGCCATTTTAAAACATTTTCCTCTAGAAAGATGCTCTTCACCAAATCTTGAGTGTTTCTTAGAGAAAAAATAGAATAAAAAATCAGTTTTAGATTTTTTTTTAAAGCTAGGATAGCACTAAAGCTTCTCAAGAGCCTCAACAGCACTTTAAGGTGAGTTTAAGCCATTTTGAGGGCACAGGACACACGTTTTGCCCTCAAAATTCACCACTAAGCCAAACCCTGCAGCTTTTCAGCTGCTTTTTAAGCCCAAATGGCCGCTTTTAAACCCCAAGTAGGAGGCTGCCCCTCCAGTCTCCCTAGCCCCCTTTCTTAATGGGTTTTTGGGGCAAAATCAACTCAATTCTTCACTCTAAGCCCACCATTTCTTTAAGGCTTCCCAGCGTTTTAAAACCCGACCCTTTTTAGCGACTTTTCTCACAAAAATTACCTCACGAAAAGGGACGCGTGCATGGGGGGAACTTCATCGCGTCCCCTCCTCCGCGGGGCCCCCTCAAACAGCCGCCAAATGGGCACAGACCCCCTCCCCCCGCTCGCTCCCCTCCCCCACAGCCCCGACTTTCCTTCCGCCCCTCCCCCACGCCCATTTACAGGCAAAAAAAAAAAGAGATTTGGGGGCGGGAGCGGCCGCGGAAGGATCCGGCGGAGGGATCCGCGGTGAATCGACCGCGGCCATGTGAGGGGCGGAAGGATCCCCGCGCGGAGGGATCCGAGAGTGAGGCGTCTGGGCGGGTCCACAGGGAGACCCCGCCCCTCATCGGGCCCCTCCCTTGGTTTTGCCGCAGTCGCCGCGGGGGCGGCGCCGGGGGCGGGAGCGCGGCGTCCAGCGCTCCGCTCGCTCCGCATTGGGCGGGGAGAGCGGCGAGTCACCTCCGCCGCGTCCGGAGAGGGTGAACGGTTAAAAAAAAAATCACCCTTTTCTCCTTGGTTGTACCTCAGAAAAGCCCGAGTTCCTTCAGGAAAATGTCATTTGCCTCAGAAATGACCGAGTTCCGTCAGAAAATGACCGATTTCCCTGAGAAAATGTCCGGTTTGCCTCAGGAACGTCTGATTTTGCCTCATCAATGTCTCATTTCCCTCTGAGATGTCTGGTTTGTCTTAAATAGGTTTGATTTCCCTCAAGAAGTGTCCGATTTGCCTCAGAAATGTCCTATTTGAATAGAAAATGTCTTATCTCGCTCAGAAATGTCCGATTTGTATCAAAAATGCTTCATTTCGCTCAGAAAGTTCCCCATTTGCCTCAAAAATGTTTTATTTCCCTCATAAATGTAAAGTTTTACCTCAGAAATGTCTTACTTTCCTCAGAAAATCTCCTTTTATTCGGCCATAACCTGCTCCCCCCCCCCCAAAATGGCGCCTCCCCACAGGAACAGTGAGGTGGGGGGGGGAGACCCGTGTCCTTCATGATTTCTCTCAAGTAACATTTATTCCAAAACATTTCTTCATCCTATCAAATACTTATATTTTGTTCATTTTTTAGTTTGTAAATTTTGGATTTCAGAGCAGTTCCTCTGTTCTTTAGGCCCCGGTAACACCGGCCCCTCCCACAGCACAAAACTCTCACCAGTTCTCCCTTAAAAAATCCTTACATTTCTAAAAAGCACCTTAAGAAAATGAAGTTATTCGAGACTGAGACGGTTTTGCCGCAGAGTGGAGGCGTGTGGGGTTTATGGGTAGAAAATGTGATATTTTGTATAAATGCAGCCCTGCTGGGTGGGAAAGGTGAGGAAAATGGAGTTAAATAGTGAAATAGGGGGATTTTGGGTGGGTGTGTGAAGGTCCCAAATGGACAACGAGCGATGCCCCAAAATCAGCAGGACTTCCCCCAAAAATGTTGGAATTTGTCCCAAAGATCTCGTTAGTGCTAATGAGAGGGAGAAGCCCCCCCAACACAGAAGCTCCTGACAGAGGTGACACGTGTGACAAGGGTGACAAGAGTGACAGACATGTGTCCCTAAATCCCCAGCCCGAAATGGCCGCTGTCACGTGGGGCCACCATTTGGCTACGTTGGCCACAAACCCCCCAGAACTGGCCCCAAACCCCCTAGAACTGGCCCCAAACTGCTGCGGCTCATCGCAAACCCCCCTGAATGGACCCCAAGCCGCCTGGAATAGGCCCCAAATCCCCCCAGAACTGGCCCCAAAATGTCCCGACTCCACTGAAAGTGGCCTCAGACCCCCCAGGAACTGGCTGGAAAATGCCCTGCATGATCCAAAATCAGCCCCAAATATCCCAAACCAGCTCAAAACTGCCAGGAATTAGCCCCAAACACACCAAATGAGTCGCAAACCACCCTGAATGAGCTTTGATCTGCCCCAAACCACCCAGAATCCTCCCCAAACTGGTACCAAACTGCCTCAAACTGCTCCGGATTAGCCCCAAATCGACCCCGATTTGCCCCAAATTCCACCAAAACCTGCCTGGGGAGAGGGGGCGGGGGGGGGCAGTGCAGTTTATTGGGGGGTGTGGGTACAAAGAGGGGGAGGTCCTGGGGGCTCCCAGTCTGAACTGGGAGGGGTTTGGGGGGCTCGGGGGGGCTCAGCCCTGCTCGGAGCCGGCCCCCCCCGTGCCCCCCTGTGCCACGGGGCTGTAGGAGCCGCCCCCGCCCCCCCCCCGGCTGAAGAAGGACGCCGAGCGCCGGGGGGGCTTCACCCGCCGCAGCTCCTGCCCTGGGGGGGACATTGGGGTGGCATTTAGGGCAGGAACCACCTCGAGGTCCCCTGTGCCACCCCTGGGGGGTCTCAATTCCCCCCCCCCCACCCGCCATGTTCCCCCAGACCACCCTGTACCCCGTGTCCCCTGCTTGTCATATTCACCCCAAGGTCCCTGTGACCGCCCTCCTGTCCCCCTCCCCGACCCCATGACCCCTACGCCCCCCAGACACTGGGGTCACCCCATGTGTGTGTGTCCCCATGTCCCCGATGTCCACCGTGCCCAGCATGTTCCCCATTGTCCCCCATGTCCCTGCTGTCCCCCATGTCCTGAATCTCCCTGATGTCCCCCTTGTTCTCATGTCCCCCATGTCCCCAGCATCCCCAGATGTCCCCCATGTCCCTGCTGTCCCCCGTGTCCTGAATGTCCCCGATATCCCTGCTGTCCCGGATGCTCACACCTGCGGGGAGAACACGCGCAGCAGTCGGTTCACAGGGGCTCCCTCGTGGTCCCCATCGAACTCGAGCCACAGCTGGGGGGGCTCCGTGGGGTCCCCGTCCTGCCCCGCGGGGTCCCCGTCCTGCCCCACGGCCCCCACCAGCTCCCAGCACAGCTCGGGGTACGTCAGGGACAGCAGCACGTGCTGGGGGGCACGGGGTGGGTCACCCACAGAGCCCTCCTGACCCCCATCCTGCCCCCCCAGACCCCCCCCCAATACCTTCTGGCGGGGGTCGATGATGGTGACCCCCTCGAGCCCCACGGCCACGCTGACGGGGCGCAGCCCCCCCCGGGCCAGCAGCCCCCCCGACGGCCGCTCAATGGCTCCCGGGAAGAAAGCACACCTGGAGGGGAGGGGGACACACCTGGGTCACCCCCCAAACCCCAAATTCTGGTTCCCCCCAAATTCATGAGGCCCCAGGTGTAGTGTGGGGTCACCCGGGGGGTGAAGCTGCTGGGGGGTTCCCTCGGGACCCGGATACGGAGGAACTTGGGGGTCTAGAAAGAGTTCTGAGGGGGGGGGTCACTGGGGGTCTGGGGGAGTCTGTGGGGCTCAGATATTGGGGGGTCCTTGGGGGGTCTGTGGAGCTCATTCATTGGATGTCTGCAGGCAGGGTGGGAGCACGGGTGGTTCCTTGCTGATCTGGGGGTGTCCCCGTCAATCTGGGGGTGTCGCTGAGGTCGGCAGGGGTCTCTGGGTGGGGTCTTTGTGAGGTTCCCTGAGGGTCTGGGGGCGTCAGTGGGGGATTTCCCATGGGGGGTGGGTGTCCCATTTGGGGTGTCCCATTGAGGTGTCCATTTTGGGGTGTCCCAGGGGGTGTCCCATTGAGGTGTCCCTTTCGGGGTGTCCCCTGGGGGGGTCTCTAAGCGGGGTCCCCCCTCACCCATAGCCGGGCAGGGCGTGGCAGCGGCGCAGGAAGTCCCGGTACAATCCGGCAGGGGGCGCCTCGGGGCCCGGCGCACGCGCGAACGCCTCGAGCAGCCGCTGGGCGGGGCCCGGCTCGCGCGAGCGCCGGAACAGCGACCCCCAGCGGGCTGGAGGACCCGGCGGCAGCAGCTCCCCCAGCAGCGGCCTGGGGGGGACACCGGGGGGTCAGGGGGGGTCACAGGGGGACCGGGAGGGACACGGGCGGAGCATG